CTCATCTCTGTTTGCCTCCTCCTTTTGCTATGCAAGAAAAACTTCTTCCATTTGATTTGGATACATTTGCATATCTTATGTCACAGTGTGGAGTGTGTTGGGGTGTGGACTTAATCAGATGCTTAGAAAGAGGAATTGATTAGCTTCTAGCCAGGGTCTCAAACTGAATCAAGGCAGCATTTTAAAAAGCATTTGCTGGCCAGGCACAGTGCCTCATGCCTAAGATCCCAGCACATTGGGAGGCCAAGGTAGGTGGATCACAAGGTCAAGAGATCAAGACCATCTCGGCCAACGTGGTGAAGTCCTGTGTCTACTAAAAAAACACAAAAATTAGCTGGGCATGGTGGCACACACCTGTAGTCCCAGCTACTCAGGAAGCTGAGGCAGGAGAATCACTTGAACCCAGGAAGTAGAGGTTGCAGTGAGCTGAGATCACACCACTGCAGCCTGGTGACAGAGTGAGATTCCCTCTAAAAAACAAATGCGTTTTTTTTTTTTTTTGTATTATATTTATGTTACAAGCAGTACCTTCAGCAGAACCAGTAGCATGCTTATGCTGGGAGTATCAATGATATGTGTATTTGTTAATGGCTGCCAGTGTTGAAATGATACTCTGATGTGACCCCCACTTCAGGGATATGGACCGCTATGAGTGTTGGGGCAGGAATGGAGCAATGAAGCAAATAGCCTAATTATCAAACTGTAACTGGGGACAGGTGCCCATTTCTGGTCCCTGTCATCTAAGAGGAATGTTGATAGAAGAAAGTTTAACCAAAAGAGACGTAGCAGGGCTGGACAGGACACATGAGAAAAAACTTTTGATATCTTGCAATTTCATTACAGTGTGTCTAATTGCAGATTTATATTTATTCATCCTGTTTAGGACTTATTGGGCTTTCTAAATCTAAGGATTTTGGTTTTTCAATAATTTTGGGAAATTAACAGCTATTCTTTCTTTGAATACATGTGGTTAATTTTTTTTTCTTTTCTGGAACTGCCTAACTAACAGCTGTAGGTGAAACTTTGTAATTACTTTCTCTATGTCTCTTAGACTCATTTATATTTTCTTTTTGTGTGTGTGAACCTATGGTTCTATTGAAACTTTCATACTTTAAATCTCTACGTCTCTGTGCAGGACAGTTTTCAGGTCATCTAATATTCAAAATTACTTGAAATAGAAGTCCTGCCCACAACTGTTGATTGGTCTGGAAAGGGGCACACAACCTCAACTGGCCAACTGAAGTCTCTTCCTGATATTGTTTTGAATTAGAAGTAGGGACAAAGCTATTAGATGGTGTTTTCTTTGTTGTTTTTTTGTTTTGTTTTGTTTTTTGTTTTTTGTTTTTTCCCAAGACAGAGTCTTGCTCTGTTGCCCAGGCTGGAGTACAGTGGCAGATCTCAGCTCATGGCAACCTCTGTCTCCTGGGGTCAAGTGATTCTTCTACCTTTGTAGCTGGGATTACAGGCGCACACCACCATGCCCAGCTAATTTTTGTATTTTTAGTAGAGACAGGGTTTCACCATGCTGGCCAGGCTGCTCTTGAACTCCTGACCTCGTGATCTGCCTGCCTCGGCCTCCCGAAGTGCTGGGATTACAGGCATGAGCCACCGCTCCCGGCTGGATGTGTTCGAACAGACTTTCTAGTCTCTTGTTTCAGGGATTTCTAAGATCCAGCTGCGTCTCTGCTGATCAACTGTTTATGTAAGATACTTCCCCTTTCACTCTAACTAGTTTGATCTGTGACTCTTATGTATGATGAAGAGCGTCCTAACTAATGCATAGGATTATTTCAAAATTTCCAAGTGCCATTGTAGAGAGGGATTGAGTAACTGCAGCCTTTGAGAGATTTTTTAAAACTTTGTATATTCATTACCTGTGTGTTGCTATATAACAGATTATCTCCAAACTTACGGCCTCAATCACAAACGTTTCTTGTGTCACCATTTCTGTGGGTCAGGTATTCGGGAGTAGCTTAGCTGATTTGTTCTTGCTCAAGGTCTGTCCTGAGATTTTAGCTGTGATGTTAACTGAGGCTGTCATCATCTTAAGGCTTGATTAGCATTGGAGGAGCGACTCCCAAGATGGTTCACTAATGTGACTGTTGAAGAGGCACCCGAGTTCCTCACTAGTTCTTGGCAGGAGTCCTCAGTCTCTTGCCATGTGGGTCTTCCATGACGCTGCTTAAGTGTTCTCAAGGCATGGCAGCTAGCACCCTTTAATACAATTGATCTCAGAAAGAGAGGACAAAGGAAGCCATAGACATTTTTATAACCTATCTTGGAAGTGACCCATCATCACTTCTGCCTTATTCTATTTGTTAAAAGCAAGTCACTAAGTCCAGCTCCATCTCTCAAAGGGAGAAGTAGCAAAGAATTGTGGACATATAGTTGACCCTTGAACAACATAGGGGTTAGGAACACTGATCCCCATGAAGTAGAGAATCTGCATATAACATTTGCCTCCCCCAAAATTTAACTACTAATCATCTACTGTTGATCAGAAACCTTGCAGATAACATAAATTGTTGATTAACATATATTTTGTATGACATGTATTATAGACAGTATTCTTACAATACAGTAGATTATGAAAAGAAAATGTTAATAAGAAAACTGGGCAGGTGTAGTGGCACATGCCTGTTATCCCAGCACTTTGGGAGTCCCAGGCAGGAGGATTGTTTGAGGACAGTTCAAGATTAGCCTTTGGAACATAGTGAGACTCCATCTCTACGAAAAAAAAAATTTTTTTTTAATTAGCTGGGCAGACCAGGTACAGTGGCTCATGCCTGTAATCCCAGCCCTTTGGGAGACCAAGGTGGGCACATCACGAGGTCAGGAGTTCGAGACCAGCCTGACCAACATGGTGAAACCCTGTCTCTAATAAAAATATAAAAATTAACCAGGCATGGTGGTGCATGCCTGTAATCCCAGCTACTCAGGAGGCTGAGGTAGAAGAATCACTTGACCTCAGGAGGCGGAGGTTGCAGTGAGCTGAGATCACACCGCTGCACTCCAGGCTAGGTGACAGAGTGAGACTCTGTCTCAAATAATAATAATAATAATAATAATAATAATAATAATAATAAGCTGGGCATGGTGGCATACACCTGAGATCCTAGCTACTTTGGAGGTTGAGGCAAGAAGAACCCTTGAGCCCAGGAGTTTGAGGCTGGAGTGAGCTGTGATCATACCACAGCCTATAGCAACAGAGTGAGATCCTATCTCAATTTAAATAAAAATCTTCTTACACCTGTAATCCCAGCACTTTGGGAGGTCAAGGTGGGAGGATGACTTGAGCTCAGGAGTTCTAGAGCAGCCTGAGCAATATGAAGAGATTCCATCTCTACAAAGGATTTAAAAATTTGGCACTTGTGATGGTGTACATTTGTGGCCCCTGCTACTCTGAAGGCTGAGATGGGAGGGCTGCTTTAGCCAGGGAAGGTGAGGCTGAAGTGAGCTATGATTGGGCCACTGTACTCTAGCCTGGGTGACAGAGCAAGACCCTGTCTTTTAAAAAAAAAATCGTAAGGAAGAGAAAATATATTTACTATTTATTAGTGAAAGTGGATCATCATATAGACCTTCATCCTCACTGTCTTCATATTGCGTAGGCTGAGGAGGAAGAGAAAGAGTAGGGGCTGGTTTTGCTGTCTCAGAGGTGGCAGAGGCAGAAGAAAATTCATGTATAAGTTGACCCAGGGCATTCAAATCCATGTTGTTCAAGGGTCAACTGTATTCAAAAAACACCATGCCATTCCTCTGTGAGTTATAAAGGTCATGTTAGCCCCACTGCTCCATCCAGACCACTATTTCACCTGAATTTACAAGCTTCCTTCTTGGGAAGATCTTGATCTCAGTCTTTAGCACCCACTACTACTCATGTCAAGAACTACACCCATGTTTGCCAGTCACGAAACCTGCATGTTGGCCATGGCTAAGGCTGGAAGGCCTGAGGATTGTAACATTTCCTCCAGACCACAGACAAACCTCAGATGGGTTGCCCCAGACCTCATTACTTACCTACATCCTTCACATGATGGCAGTAGATGGTATTTGCACACGTCACAAGAGTCCCTCGTTTACAGCAATTATACTGTTCAGCAGGGAGACACCCAGCCCTTGTGACTACCCAGCCACTTGATTTCTGTCTACTGTCTCCAGCCTGTCTCCTGATTTGGAAGGAACAGTTGAGGCATTCCGACTCTGTATTTAAGTGTTCTCTGCCACTGTCCACTGATTGATGACTACACATAAAGTGTTAACTGGATACTCAATGGTACACATCATCCTACTAACAACTCCCCAGTCCTTTCTTTTTTTTCTGAGACTGAGTCTCGCTCTGTTGCCCAGGCTGGAGTGCAGTGGCACAATCTTGGCTCACTGCAACCTCTGCCTCCTGGATTCAAGCTATTCTGCCTCAGCCTCCCAAGTAGCTGGGATTACAGGTGCCCACTACCATGCCTGGCTAATTTTTGTATTTTTAGTAGAGATGGAGTTTTGCCACAGTGGCCAGGCTGGTCTTGAACTCCTGACTTTGTGATCCGTCCGCCTCGTTCTCCCAAAGTGATGGGATTACAGGCTTGAGTCACCACACCTGGCTCCCCTAGTTCTTTCATCTTGCCTTTTATAAGTCTGCATCCAACTTGTTGGATTACAGGCGTGAGCCACAGTGCACCGTGCCCTGCCGCTGCCCCTATTTTCATCCCTGGCTTTGGATCCCTTTCCTCCCCGAAGGGAGAAAGGCCTCCAGGGCAGCCCCGCAGACCCGATGGGAGGGGTGTAGGAAAATAGGCTAAAGCCAATGGAGGTCTGGAGCGCGCCTGGGCATCCAAGCGTGGAAGGGAAGTGACCAGCGGCAGGAGGTGAGGATGCTGTACAAGCGGAACCACCCGCCGCCCCGGGGCCAGGGAGCAGCTGAGACGTTGGCCTTTCCAGTTTCCTAGAGAGGGCGCTGAGGCCCCCGGGGCGGCGACGCGCCTGCGCTACTGGGACCGCTGGGAGGTAGGCGCGCGTCGGGCGGCTGCCGTGGCGGCTTAGGTATCGGTTGTCTCTTGGCGGCGAGAGTAGGTGAGCGGCCGGGTGGGGCGCGGGGTGAGGGTGGGGAGTGGGGCGGCTGTGTGGGCGAGAGTGGAGGGCGAGGCTCGGCCTGGAAGCTGCTCCCGGGGCGGGGGTCTGGCCGTGGATCCCGCCCCCGCCACGTTGAGGGCGTACCTCTCCGCCCCCGAGGGTTCAGGACAGAGAATCTGCAAGAGTCCTGGTTTTTTCCGGCTTTATCCTTTTACCCAATTATGCGAATAAAGCGTGTTTGTTAGAGACAATTAGGTAACACGGGAAAGTGGAAGAAAAGTGAAAGTAGTCACGGTCCAGAAATCTTAGTCTCCAGGTCTCCTGACATTTAAAACGTCTGGCATAATTAGACTTTTCCCTTTTTCTTGTGTTATTTCATTTCGTAGCACCTGTCGCGGTCTAACATGACATATATTTGTTGATCTTCCCATAAGCTCCTTGCCAGGGGAGTGCTTTTTGTCTGCTTTATTGACTACTGTTACCTTAGAGTGTGGGACATAGTAGGTGCTCCTAGTAGGTATTTGTTAAATTAATGAAAGAAGGAATATCCAAACTGGGAGATTAGAATTGACAGTTTTTAATGTCTTTTGAAGAATTGACAGTTTTTAATGTCTTTTTTTTTTTTTTTTTTTTAAGAGCCCATTGCCAAGTTAAGAATGTAAGAGTGACCTGTGAGCGTGGAACATTTCCTTGCAGAGTTGGAGCCCTCACAGCCTGGGCTGCATTTAATGCCTTGTGTCGTTCACTGTTTCAGACTTCATGTGTACTCCTTTGTTATGTTTAATCTCTTAAGTCAGTGGTCTTCATTCATTTTCTCAGCTTTCTGTATTTCAGACCCCATGGGAGTGGGGAAGGTGGATTGAGATCTTTCTAACTTACTAAGTGGGGTGTGTGCATAACACCAGCCCTATTGGCTGTGGAATGGATCTGCTGGCTGTGGGGAATCTTTGCATTGCAGGAGGCTGGATCTTGTGCTCTGTTTCTCTCTTCTTGCTGTAGATAAACACTGTACCTCTTGAGGCCTGATGTCGTTGGCGTCTGTTCTCAGAGACCTCAAACCATGTGCTGTTCCTTCCTTCGATGGCTCCTTAATCTTGGCTACACAGCCTGACCACCTGGTGAATAATGAAACATCATGGGGATGCATAAGGATTTAGTATGTTCCTTTTAGGTGCTGTATAGTATTTGATTTTATAAAAATGCTACTTTTATTTAGCCATATTGATGGACAAGTAGGTTAAATCCAGTATAAGGTTATTACAAAGAATATTCTAGTGAATGCCTTTGTAAATGTCTGAATACCGGTGCAAGTGTTTTTTTCAGAGCAGATTCTTACAAGTTTAATTTCTGAAGCATAAGGAATGTGTCTTTTTGGTTTTACTGTGGACTTTCAAACTATCCTTCCTGTTGGCTGTTACATTTCCACTTCTATCAGTGGTTTGTGTTTGGTGTTCTTTTCTTTTGGACAGAGGTTTTTCATATTGATGTATTCAAATATATTCACTGTTTTCATATTGTTGTCTTAAGAAATTCTTGCTTACACCAGGGTTCTTAGAGTCTTTATGGATTTTTTTTTTTTTTTTTTTGAGACGAGTTTCGCTCTTGTTACCCAGGCTGGAGTGCAATGGCGCCATCTCAGCTCACCGCAACCTCCGCCTCCTGGGTTCAGGCAATTCTCCTGCCTCAGCCTCCTGAGTAGCTGGGATTACAGGCATGATGTGCCACCATGCCCAGCTAATTTTTTGTATTTTTAGTAGAGACGGGCTTTCACTATGTTGACCAGGATGGTCTTGATCTCTTGACCTCGTGATCCACCCGCCTCGGCCTCCCAAAGTGCTGGGATTACAGGCTTGAGCCATCGCGCCCGGCTCTTTATGGATTTTTTTTTTAGCTTTGTTTAAGTTTCTTTAACTAGAATTTATTTTTTATGTGATTTTATTTGCTATTTTTATTTGCCTAGCCAGTTGTCCCAACACAATGCATTGATTAGTTTACTCTTTCCCACTGACTTGTCATGCTACTGTTACCAATTCTCAAGCATAGTTATTTGACTTCAGTGGGTCCTTTACCTGCCTGGTGGTGTTCATGCCAATAAAATGAGACCAGGTTCCATTAAGCAGAGCAGAAACTTTGTTGATGAAGGAATGGAGAAGGGAAGCTCATGCTCAAAGCACCTTCCTATGGGTGTGGTGAAGGGGGATTTTTAAGATCTCTTAGGACATGTAGGGCAGGGATTCCTGGAAAGAGGTGGCCCAATAGGAAGAACTGGAGTGTGCTCAGTCTCGTTCTTTTGTACCCAGCACTGTAAGTGCCTAGCAAAGTGCATGTCTACCTTCTAGGTGGAGATTTTTATTTTTTATTTTTTAATTTTTATTTATTTATTTATTGGAGACAGAGTCTTGCTCTGTCACCCGTGCTGGAGTGCAGTGACGCAATCTTGGCTCACTGCAACCTCTGCTTCCAGGGTTCAAGCAATTCTCCTTTGTCAGCCTCCCAAGTAACTGGGACTACAGGTGCGTGCTACCATGCCTGGCTGATTTTTATATTTTCAGTAGAGATGGGGTTTTGCCATGTTGGCCAGGCTGGTCTTGAACTCCTGACCTCATGATACACCCACCTTGCCCTCCCAGAGTGCCGGAATTACAAGTGTGAGCCTGGCCTAGGAGGAGATTTTAATATGGTAATGAAGCAAGGATTCAGGCCTGAGTAGTACTGCTGAGCTAAGTTCTCTTATTTGTGGTTACTGATATCTGACTTTTTTTTTTTTTTTTTGAGACGGAGTTTCGCTCTTGTTACCCAGGCTGGAGTGCAATGGCGCGATCTCAGCTCACCGCAACCTCCGCCTCCTGGGTTCGGGCAATTCTCCTGCCTCAGCCTCCTGAGTAGCTGGGATTACAGGCGTGAGCCACCACGCCCGGCCTTCTGGGACTCTTTAAAAAAAGATCGTGCTGCTGTAAGTAGACAGGGCCTCCAGGGATTGTAGGAATTTAATCAACATGAGCAATCAGCCTGTTTTACAGCTTCCTACCCTGCAGTCTATTTCTTCCTAAACCCTGTGTGGATTGCAGTCACCTAGTTAGTTAAAACTACCTCCTGGCTGGGCATGGTGGCTCACACCTATAATCCCAGCAGTTTGGGAGGCTGAGGCGGGTGGATCACAAGGTCAGGAGTTCAAGACCAGCCTCACCAACATGGCAAAACCCCGTCTCTCCTAAAAAGACAACAATTAGCCAAGTGTGGTGACATGCACCTGTAATCCCAGCTACTCCAGAGGCTGAGGAGAATAGCTTGAACCTGGGAGGCAGAGGTTGCAGTGAGCCAAGATCAAGCCACTGCACTCTAGCCTGGGTGACAGGCGAGACTACGTCTCAAACAAAAACAAAAACAAAACCCAGCTCCTGACAGACCCCAGCAACTTATAGGTGAACCTGAGTGAACTGTCTTCGTTACCATGCTAAAGTCTCCACCTGGGGAGTAGCTACATAACACGTGACCTATGTGCTGGCATAGTGACTTACTGCGTCTGCACCTCTGGAACCCCTCCTATACATGTGATGATGTAGCCTTTCCACTCTCCATTGACCCATAAAACTCTCCTATTACTTTTCCTTAGAGAGACACTGCTTTGAAAAATACTACCAGTGTTCTCCGTACACCAAGTAGTAAAACTCCTATTGATCAAAACTTGCGTTCTCAGAGTCATTACTCACCAGGTGAATGAACCCTGTTTTTTGGGTTTTGTTTTGTTTTTAGGCAACACTGTGGTGATACAATCTCTGTCATACATCAAACATAAAATTAGCTGGGCATGGTGATACGTGCCTGTAATCCCAGCTACTTAGGAGGCTGAGGCTGGAGAATCACTTGAACCCAGGAGGTGGAGGTTGCAGTGAGTGGAGATCACACCACTGCACTCCAGCCTGGGCAACAAAGGAAGACTCCATCTCCATAGAAACAAAAAACCAAAACTTTTATATATGTATAAGCTTGTGTCAGGATTCTGTACTTTTTCCTTTTATCTATGGTTTGCATGTTTCTTCGGTAATATATGCTGTTTTAGGTACTACAGCTTTATATTAAGCCTTATTGTCTGGTAGAACAAAACTTTCTACATATCAAAAGTTTTCTTATTTTACTTATTCATTTGGATTTTAGAATATACTTTTCAAGCTCTAAGAAAAATTACATTGTGGTTAGATTTTGTTGACTTTGAAGAAGTGTGTTTTCTCATACAAAATGTGTATCTGTTCTGTCTTTTGGCAGAGTTTTCTATTCCTCCACTAAGGTCTTGTACATTTTTTATTAGCTTTATTTCTGAGTACTTTATATTTTTGTTGCTATTGTATTAATTCATTTTCTGATTGGTTGTTGCTATTGTGTTGGAAAGTTATTGAGTATATGTTGAATATATATTCAATCTCCTTAATGTCCCATCATGTTCTGTTTTTTTGGTTCATTCTGTTTAATTTTTTAGGTGATTTTTCATATCATTCTTGAGTATATTTGCTTTGCATATTTCTTGTCTAAAAGTTTTCTGCATATTTTTTTCTTGTCTAGTTGCATTGTCTAGGATTACATTGTATGATTGTTCCCATTTTTAATTGCAAAGCTTTTTGTGTCATTACCATTTAGTGTCAGGTCTGTTGTAGATTTCTTTGGTCTATTCTTCATGTCAGTTTAAGGATGTCATTATTCCTGGATTGTTAAGAGTGTGCACAAAAAGGAGATATAGTTATTTAATTTTAAGAGAATACCAATACTGTAAATAGCTTTATGCCAATAAATGTGAAAAGCTAGATGAATACCTGGATTGTTTCTTCCCTTTTACTGTTACATATAATGCTGCTGTGAATATTCGTGTACGAGTTTTTGCATGGGCATCTTTTTTTTTTTTTTTGAGATTGAGTCTCGCTCTGTTGTCCAGGCTGGAGTGCAGTGGCACGATCTCAGCTCACTGTAACCTCCACCTTCTGGGTTCAAGCAATTCTCCTGCCTTAGCCTCCCAAGTGACTGGGATTACAGGTGTATGCCACCATGCCCAGCTAATTTTTGTATTTTTAGTAGAGACAGGGTTTCACCATGTTTGTCAGGCTGGTTTCAAAACTCCTGACCTCGCGATCTGCCCACCTCGGCCTCCCAAATTGCTGGGATTGCAGGCGTGAGCCACGCACCTGGCCTATTTTCTTTTTTCTTGGCTATATATGTAGGAGTAGAATTGCTAGGCCAATTAGTAAATGTGTGTTTAACTTTGTGAGGAACTGTCCAACTGTTTTCATATGTGTATGCATCAATTTACATTTCCATTAGCAGTAGATAAAGTTTCAATATCTACATACTCTCACTGATTTTTTTTTTTTTGAGACAGGATCTTGCTCTGTCCCTCAGGCTGGAGTGCAGTGGTGTGATCTCAGCTTACTGTAGCCTAAACCTTTCGGGCCCAGGCGATCTTCCCACCTCAGCCTCCTAGGTAGCTGGGACCAGAGGCGTGTGCCACCAGGCCTGGCTAATTTTTTATATTTTTTCTAGAGATAGGGTTTTGCATTGTTGCCTAGACTGGTCTTGAACTCCTGGGCTCAAGCAATCCACTCATCTCGGCCTCCCACGATTGCTTGTTATTATTGGTTTCGTTCTAGCCACCTTACTGGGTGTGAAGTACTTTCTTACTGCTCTGTTAATCTGCATTCCCTGATGACTATCCTGTGTACTTAATAGACATTTTAACACTTTTCTTTGGAGAAATGTCAGTTCAGACCCTTTGTCCATTTTTATTTTTGAGATGAAGTCTCATTCTGTCATCACTAGGCTAGAGTGCAGTGGCGTGATCTCAGTTCACCGCAACCTCCACCTCATAGGTTCAAGTGATTCTAACTGCCTCAGCCTCCTGAGAAGCTGGGACCACAGGTGTCTGCCACCACACCTGGCTAGTTTTTGTATTATTAGTAGAGACAGGGTTTTGCCATGTTGGCCAGGCTGGTCTCAAACTCCTGACCTCAGGTGATCTGCCTGCCTCGGCCTCTCAAAGTGCTGGGATTACAAGCGTGAGTGCCCTGGCCCCATTTTAAAATTTGTTATTTTTTTTTTCTTTTTATTATTGAGTTGTAATACATAAAGAATATAAATGTATATTCTCTCTATATGAAGAATGTAAATATATTTATTCTTTATATATTCCAGATACAAGTCTTTATCAGATATATGATTTGCCAATGTTTTCTTCCAGTCTGTAGATGCTTTTTCACTTTCTTATTTTCTTTTATGCACTAGAGGTTTTCCTTTTGATGAATTTATTTATTTTTTCCATGTTTCATATGATTTTGGTGTGCATGTGGCAAGAATCCATTGCCAAATGGAATGTCACAAAGACATATACCTAGAGTGTTAGTTGTTGGTGGTGTGTGTTTTTTTTTTTAATAGAATCTCGCCCTGTCACCCAGGCTGGAGTGCAATGGCAGGATCTCTGCTCACTGCCACCTCCGCCTCCTGGGTTCAAGCAATTCTCCTGCCTCAGCCTCCCAAGTAGCTGGGATTACAGGTGCCTACCACCACACTGAGCTAATTTTTTTGTATTTGTAGTAGAGATGGGGTTTCACCATTTTGGCCAGGCTGGTCTCTAACTCCTGACCTCAGGCGATTCGGCCGCCTCAGCCTCCCAAAGTGCTGGGATTATAGGTGTGAGTCATAGCGCCCAGTGAGTTTTAGATCTTATATGTAGTTCTTTGATCTTTTAGAAGTAATTTTTATAGATAGAGTGAGGTAGAGCACCATCTTCATTCTTTTGCATATAGATGATACCCATGTGTTGAAAAGATCATTCTTTCCACTTTGAACGATCTTGGCACCATTGTAAAATAATGACTATAGATGTAAGTTTATTTCTGAACTCTTAATTCTAATCCCTTGAATTATATGCCTGTTCTTATGCCAGGAATACAATAACCTGAAGACTGTTGTTCTGTAGGAAGTTTTGAAATTGAAAAGTTTGAGTCCTTCAACTTATTCTTCCTTTTTAAGAAGAATTATGACTGTATGGGTCTCTTGAATTTTAACATAAAATTTAGGATCAGCTTTTGACTTCTAAAAAGATGCCCCCTGGGAATCAGTTAGGGATTTGGTTGAATCTAGAAATCAGTTTTGGAAATATTCATAGGACTTGTGTTTGAAGAACACAGAATTAAAATGTTTTGGCCAGTGTACGAACTCATTGACATAACTTGGGAAATCCAGAGAGGAAGGTAGTAAGAACATACATTTTAAACACTGAACTTAAGGTGTTACAGGACACCCAAGGGAAACATCCCATAGACAGCAGGAAGCGTGTGGTAGGGGTCTAGGAGAGAAGTAAGAACTGTGAGAGCACCGTTAAAGTGATGAGAGTTGGTGAGATTGCTGACGGAAAGAACAAGGAAGCACAGGGGCCTGAGTTGCAAGAAGTGCCCATAATGAGAGTGCAGGAGCAGGAAGAGGAACCAGGGCATGAGGAACCAGAACTGTGAGGGGAAAATCAGGGCTGGCTGGTGCTAGAGAAGCCATGGGAGAGAGTGTGGCCAGAATAGCTTCCTTGAAAAAGGTTGAAGAGAGTGGGGACTTGGAGGAACACCCAGTTCTCAGCTTGACCTGGCACCCTGTACTATGCCCTCCAGGGCAAATTCACAGCACACTTGGGATAAGGCCTTGTTATGGAAGTTGGTAAGAGTCAGTGTGTGTGAGGTGCCTGGGTTCTTACTGGGAACATAGATCTTACAGGAGCCGGAAGCAGGGCTTGTCCCACTCATAGCTTTTTTTCCTCCCTCAGCTCAACTTGCTTCTCCAGTTCCTACCCTTCCTCAAGTGGGAAACTCAGGAGACCAAGCAGAGGCAACTGTACTTCGGATGGTCAGGCCCCAGGTGAGCTTGGTTCTTTCTGTTTTTACCACGTCCCGAAGACTCTGGTCCAGGAATGGCTAGAGGTCTCACCACCAGGACTCTGCCCCATCTAAAACTGTTCCTGTGTCTCTCCTGCCTAATTGCTTCCCTGAAGGTAATGGATTCTGTCTTGCCCTGGACTTGCCCTTTTTGAGGTATCATCTCAGCTCCTCTCTCCCACACTTTTGTCCATGAAGAGCCCATACTCTGTGCCCTCTGTACGCCTGATGACTCTGCCCTTCAGGCTGTGAATGTTCTTGAGTGATTGGAGCTTGTCATTCCAGGATACTGTGGTGTTTGAGGACCTGTTTGTGAACTATACTCAGAAGAAATGAAATGTCCCACACTCAGCCAGAGAGCAATGCACTGGAACATGATGCCAGAAAATGACCACAGCATGGCTTCCTTGGGTAATGATTCTGTTTCCTAGTCACTTAGAGTCTATATGCTGTGCATTCTCTTTGTTATATTCCTTGTCTTTTTAAACTTTTTACTATGAAAATTTCCAAACATAGATAAACTAAAGTAAGTTATGTAAGAGTCAGTATGTGTGGAGCTGCCTGAGACCACTTGAATAGGGACCCTCTCTGCACCCATCATTCAGCTTGAACAATGATCAGCATTCTCTTTACCTCATTATTGATTGACATAAGGTGGTTTAGGTAGAGTGTTTTTAGTTGTAAGGAAGAGAGAGCCGCTCAAGTTATTGTAACTAAGAAGCTGTGAATCATAGGCTTAAAGGAATGGGAACCCAGAATAAACTGATCAGCTAGACCAGACTGTGGGAAGCAGTGCCTTGACCCAGGGCAGCCTGGGAGCCAGAGCAACAAAAGCAAATGGATGTCGATGCCTGTGTTCTGGTGTGAATGTAAAGCAGCTGCTCACGGTGTATCTCTCTATTTGTTTTCTCTCTGCTTGTCCTCCTCCTCCTGCCCATTTTCTTCACTGTGAATCTTTTGTCCTTTTCATAGCTCTTTCGTAATTGTACTTCCTGTCCCCTTATATTTGTTGCTTGCTGTGTCTCCTAATGGCTTGGCTTCTCTCCATGCATCACTTCACAGCTTCTATTGCTACTCTTAATTGCCTTAATTTTGCCCTATCTCCAGTTCCAAATTTCCTTAGAGACGGATTCCCATTGCTATAGCCATTATGCATCATCTCATTGGGGCAGAGCTTTGGCCCAGGCCACAGCAGAGGCCAAAGACCAACCTAAAGATAAGCTGCCCTTGGGTCTAGTACTTGGTGCTGGTCCAATCAACTGTAGCTCATCATGGATGTTCAGGGTCACTTGCCACAAAGCATGGCTGCCTAAGTGTTCCTCTCTGAAAGACTGGAGCAGAGCAATTTCCTGGAAGGGCTTCTTGGCAGGGCAGGTGCTGTAATTGACACATTTAGGGCAGTAGACAACTATGGAAAGGGTGGGCTTTAGGAATCATTGACCCAGATAGCTTTAGGTTTCCATAGGCTAACTGGTATGATGGTTATGGCCCTGATTCAGATGTGATTGAAAGGAACCCACATTTTGGTGTTTTTCCATGGCCATGATTACTCTGCCTTCTCCCAGATTTTGTATTCAGAATTCCAGAGACAAATATTTACCTGTTGAGTTACTTTATATTCCAAAGAATCAAAGACTTTTGTTTGTTTGTTTGTTTGTTTGTTTTTGAGACAGAATCTTGCACTGTCACCAGGCTGGAGTGCAATGGTGTGATCTCGGCTCACTGCAACCTCCACCTGCTGAGTCAAGCAATTCTCCTGCCTCAGCCTTCCGAGTAGCTGGGATTACAGGCACGCACCACCACGCCCAGCTAATTTTTGTATTTTTAGTAGAGACAGGGTTTCAGTATGTTGGCCAGGATGCTTTCAATCTCTTGACCTCGTGATCTGCCCACCTCGACCTCCCAAAGTGTTAGGATTACAGGCGTAAGCCACTGCACCTGGCCTGTCATTTTAATTTGTATTTATTTTTCTTTTTTTTTTTAAGATGGGGTTTTACTCTTTGTTGCCCAGGGTGGGGTGCAGTGGCATGATCTCGGCTCACTGCAACCTCTGCCTCCCAGATTCAAGTGATTCTCCTGTCTCAGCCTCCTGAGTAGCTGGGATTACAGGCCACCACACCTGGCTAATTTTTGTATTTTTAGTAGAGATGGGGTTTCACCATGTTGGTTAGGCTGGTCTTGAACTCCTGACTTCAGGTGATCCGCCCGACTCAGCTTCCGAAAATGCTGGGATTATAGGTGTGAGCCACCGTGCCCGGCCATAATTTATATTTCAAATTATTGAGATCCCTGTTACTTTTGCTGAGAGTATGCAGCTGGCTCCTATCAGGCCAGTGCTCTGAGGGCTAGTGGCATCCCCACTTCTAGAACTCTGCTGTCTCCTTCAATACTGCTGTCCAGCTTTTCTGAACCGATAGCTTCTCCAAATCTTTGTACTGTCCTTTCATACCAGATCTCTCCTTTTTGTACACTTTCCTAATCATACCCTCATAGTAGAAATTTCTCAATTCATTCCCATCTTTTCCTTGTCTCTTTCTTTTATTTGACCTGAGGTATTTGCTAGCCTTCCTTCTTCCAACATGTTTTCTGAGAACCATGGAACCGTAGAATGTCATGGTTGGAAAGCTACTCAAAGTTCACCATTTTACATGCATGAGACACAGCATGAGAGTGACTTCTGTAAGATCACAGCATGCTTTGCAGTCTAGTCTGTTGCTTTCCAATGGCCCTTCTGACTTGGCTGTGCTGCCTCAATATCTTTTTTCCACCCTCCTCCACTGACCATCTTTTTTTTCCTTGTTTTTCTATCCTGAAGATCCAATTGAGCTATTTCTTATTTTATTCTTGTTCTCAATGTGTCATCTCATTTCTTAACCATAATGTGACTTTTTTTCAGGTACATAAGCTCTTTATGATTCTGTTTCTTTAACAGGAAAAGAAATGAGTAAAAGTTTTCTTATTTCTTTTGGCAGCAAGTAGAAACATGATGGAGTGTTCGGAGTTGACTCTGAAGCAGGAAATTTTTAAAGGATCAGAGTCATCTAATAGGACATCAGGGGGACTCTTTGGGGTGGTTCCTGGGGGAACAGAGACTGGAGATGTTTCTGAAGATACTTTGAAAGAGTTAGAAGGACAACTGTCAAATGAAGAAAGGAACAGACTAGAAAATGATTTCTTGGAAATAACAGATAAGGATAAGAAAAAATCCACAAAAGACAGATATGAGGAATATAAGGAAGTTGGGGAACATCCACATCTATCTTCCAGTCCTCCTGAACATGAAGGAGTTTTAAAGGGACAGAAATCCTATCAGTGTGATGAATGTGGCAAAGCTTTTTATTGGAGTTCACACCTCATTGGTCATCAGAGAATCCACACTGGAGAGAAACCCTATGAGTGTAACGAGTGTGGGAAGACCTTCAGGCAAACCTCTCAGCTCATTGTTCATCTCAGAACCCACACAGGGGAAAAACCCTATGAATGCAGCGAGTGTGGAAAGGCCTATAGGCACAGCTCCCATCTCATTCAACACCAGAGACTCCATAATGGGGAGAAACCCTATAAATGTAATGAATGTGCAAAAGCTTTTAATCAGAGCTCCAAACTCTTTGACCACCAGAGAATCCATACTGGGGAGAAACCTTATGAGTGTAAGGAGTGTGGGGCAGTCTTTAGTCGGAGTAAGAATCTTGTTCGACATCAGGTCCTTCACACTGGTAAGAAACCTTACAAATGTAGTGAGTGTGGGAAAGCGTTCTGTTCCAATAGAAATCTCATTGACCATCAGAGAACCCACAGTGGGGAGAAGACTTATGAGTGTAATGAATGTGGTAAAGCCTTCAGTCGGAGTAAATGTCTTATTCGACATCAGAGCCTTCACACTGGGGAAAAGCCATACAACTGTAGTGAATGTGGGAAAGCCTTCAATCAGATCTCTCAGCTCATTGACCATGAGCGAATTCATACTGGAGAAAAACCATTTAAATGTAGTGAGTGTGGTAAGGCATTCAGTCTGAGTAAATGTCTTGTTCGGCACCAGAGACTTCACACAGGTGAAAAGCCCTATAAATGCAATGAGTGTGGAAAATCCTTCAATCAAAACTCGTACCTCATTATACACCAGAGAACTCACACTGGTGAGAAACCCTATGAATGTAATGAGTGTGGGAAGGTCTTCAGTTATAATTCTAGTCTTACGGTACATCAGAGAACCCATACTGGGGAAAAACCTTATAAATGCAATGATTGTGGGAAAGCTTTTAGTGACAGCTCACAGCTTACCGTGCACCAAAGAGTTCACACCAGAGAGAAACCTTATGAATGTATTGAGTGTGGGAAAGCCTTTAGTCAGCGTTCCACTTTTAACCACCACCAGCGAACTCATACCGGAGAGAAGCTCTCAGGGCTGAGTCGGTCATCTTCTTAAGGCATGGTTCTCTGAGACAGAGAGCAAGGACCTTTTGAGTTAAGCTTTCTTTATAAGAGGGATGCTCATCATGGTCTCTGGAGACCACTTATCACAGTGGACCATACCCTACTTGCTTTTCCTTGGGTCACTAAGGTGGGAGAGTAGGTGTAACTTAGTCTGATCCTTACTTAGTAGTAGGAAATTAAGGATTACATGTCATTTGCTTGTAGCTTTCCTTCTTTCTCTTAAAAAACTATTTTAAAATCCATCTTATTAGTATGCATTCCACAATCAGATTCTGCATTTCTGAAGAACAGCAGTTATATTATCTTTATTTTAATGCAGTTCCTCCACTGAACCATTTACGTAAAGTCATTTTTTAAGTCAGTCTACTATATTATTCATTCCTGCTCCTTGCCGTCTCCTTCCACAGCTACTTTTAAAATTTGTACTGTAAGCTACATCTGTCTTCATGTTTGTGTTTTCTGGCTAGGAAACTTTTCTTTTTGTTTGCTAATTACTTCCTTCACAATAGTCAAGATTTATACCATCTCTGAAAGACTTTCTTCTTCACATAGTTGTTTCTTTTATACTTCTATTGATTTAGCCTTAATGCTTTAAATTAGCTGGTGCTACAATATATAACTGTTACATGTTTTTGTAAATTGTTCTCAACTTACAATGTGTTATGCGTATCACATACATCCAAAGTATACTCACATATAGTTGTGTATGTGTAGACCTTTTCTTTTCCCTTTTCTTTTCTTTTCTTGTCAGAGTCTTGCTCTTGTTGTCCAGGCTGGAGTGCAATGGCACAATCTCAGCTCACTGCAACCCCTGCCTCTTGGGTTCAAGCAATTCTCCTGCCTCAGCTTCCCAAGTAGCTGGGATTATAGGCACGTCCAGCTAATTTTTTGTTTTTTGTTTTTTTTTAGTAGAGATGGGCATTCTCCTTGTTGGTCACGCTGGTCTCGAACTCCTGACCTCAGGTGATCTGCCCGCTTTGGCCTCCCAGATGCTAGGATTACAGGCATGAGCCACTGCACCCGGCCACATATGTGTATACTTTCATACCAGCTTGTAAGCTCCTGAGATCAGGTATGGTATCTATTTCTTTTAATATATACATAATAGCTTGAGTATGCTAGTTCTTAAATAAGTTTCAAAATTCAAATTGTGTCATCATTAACGTGGGCATAGTCTCCCCTCTCCCTCATATCACATCCACTGGAGTAGAAGCTTCTAAAGAAGGAAGTGGCATCTCATCATAGTATGTCACATATAAAGGCTCATTGATATCTTCTACTTAAAGCCTTGGAAGTCTTACTACTGGTACTTCAGTCTTAAGGAGCTAATGGATTTGTGTGTGAATTAGTGTCTGTTTATCTAGGTATTGGGTTGGGCAGTGACATCCTACTGATAACATAATTCGATCTGCACACTTACTCTAATTCTGAACTATCTGACTGCATCCTGCTTCCTAAATAAAACTTATAGTCGGCTGGGCGCAATGGCTCACCTGTAATCCCAGCACTTTGTGAAGTCCAGGCGGGTGGATCACTTGATGTTAGGAGTTCGACACCAGCCTGGCCAACATGGTGAAACCCTGTCTCTACTAAAAATACAAAAAGTAGCTGGGTGTGGTAGTGTGTGCCTGTAATCCCAGCTGCTCGGGAGGCTGAGGCAGGAGAATCACTTGCACCTGGGAAGCAGAGGTTGCAATGAACTGAGATTGTGCCACTGCATTCCAGCCTGGGTGACAGAGTGAGACTGCATCTCAAAAATAAAAAAAAAAATAAACAAACAAAAAACGTACAGTCAGTTTACTGCCAGAAGACTTGACTTTCATTGCTGTGATATAGATGATTGAAAATTTCAGCTAGCAGTGTTCCTGGATGATTCGAATTCACAGTAATGAGGTTTTTGGTAAAACAGTAGTATCAAACTAATCTATTTCCCATATCATCTAGTCCTGTCTCACTACAACTGCTACCTTAATTTCAAGATGAGAACTGTGCCTTAATTATTATCTTCCAGACCATCTTCCACTCAGCAAAGACGTAAGAACCAAGAAATAATTCTCAGAGTACTTTCTTTCTTTCTGCAGTCATGTGTCAGTCCATGAGCTTGAACCACTTTTCCTTCCACCCCTGCAATCATGGCCCAGTGCTGGTGGACCTTTGGCTCTAATGTTCACCCGCTTTTCTTTCCATCTCTCTGACCCCTTAACAGGCTGACAGGATCCGCAGAATGGCAAAGGTGGAGGACAGGCTAGAGGGGCAATGTCAGGCATGTAACCTGGAGGGGTGATTTTGTAGCTGTGGTGCATGTTTCAGACAATGCAGAAGAAAGGTAAAAATGTTGAGGATCAAGAAAATCAGAATTAAATGTGATTCTGGGGGAGGTATCTCAGACAAAGTTAGAAAGGATTACTGGGGGCCTAAAGTTTTTCAGGGTCTTTAGAAATTACTGAATTCGGCTGGGCACAGTGGCTCATGCCTGTAATCCCAGCACTTTTGGAGGCCAAGGCAGGCAGATCACTTGAGGCCAGGAGTTTGACCAACCTGGCCAACATGGCAAAACCCTGTCTCTACTAAAAATACAAAAATTAGCTGGGTGTGGTGGTGCACACCTGTAGTCCTAGCTACTCAGGAGGCTGAGGCAAGAGAATCACTTGAACCTGGGAGGCAGAGGTTGCAGTGAGCTGAGGTCACTGTACTCCCAGCTGAGCAGCAGAGCAAGACTCTGTCTCAAAAGCAACAACAACAAAACTGAACTCATGACACAACTGGAATTCTGCCATTTGTAAATACGTATTTTAAGTGTTTTCAGCTTTTTTTTTTTTTTGCATTTGTTTCCATTTTCTTTTAAAAGATATGCAGATAGGACTTTTTCTTCTTTAAGTGTTTTATTTTGGGAGCACCCAGATTTTAGGGAAGAGCCTCACTATATGAGCACATGAGTTGCACATTTCTGGTTCTCTGCCCTGAGTTGGATTGCCAGTCATGTGTTCAGAAGAACCATCCTGCCTTTTGGATGCTGCAATTTTACCTTCTTGTTCTTGTCTGCTCATTCCCTCCCATACTAAGCCTCTGGAGTATGGGAATGTGCACCATTCCTAACTATATTAACTCACTACCATCCATCTGGTGTAGGTGCTCAGTACAAGTAAATCCTGAAAAAGCCTCAGGCTCTTGGATGGAGGAAAATCGGCTGCATTTGAAAGCCATACTTCAATTTCTGTTGGTCATTGCTAGTATAAACTTTAATTATTGATTTAAACAAATTGTATCTGGATCCAGTTATATTGATAAATTATTTTTAGGTTTAATAGTTTGTTAGAGGGCCAGGCTTGGTGGCTCAGCCTGTAATCCCAGCACTTTGGGAGGCCGAGGCGGGTGGATCACGAGGTCAAGAGATCGAGACCATCCTGGTCAACGTGGTGAGACCCCGTCTCTACTAAAAATACAAAAAATCAGCTGGGCATGGTGGCGCATTCCTGTAGTAGCAGCTATTCAGCAGGCGGAGGCAGGAGAATTGCCTGAACCCAGGAGGCGGAGGTTGCGGTGAGCTGAGATCGCGCCATTGCACTCCAGCCTGGGCAACAAGAGCGAAACTTCGTCTCAAAAAAAAAAAAAAATAGTTTGTTAGAGTCGTTTTCTAGCTTTTTAAGGTTATAATAAATAAGGATTTATTTGTCTTTTGATGTCACTTATGTTGTGCATTAGCAAGAACTTCGAAAAATGTGGAAGAGTAGATGTCTCTCGCTTAACTCTTGGGGGAATGTTTTTAGTATTTCAAAGTTTCATATGGTGCATTGTTGGATTTTGATGTTCTGCTGTATTTAGGAAGTTTCCTTCTAATCTTATTTCTACAAGAAGCTGTGTAGTTTAGTGGTTAAGAGCACAGATTTTGTTCCCAGTGCTCTAGGTTCAAATCCAGAGTCCACCACTTTGTTAGGTGTGTGACCCTGTGCAAATCACTTAGCTTCCTTGTATTTTGGTTCCTCCATCTATAAAATAGAGTTACCTCATAGGGTTGTGAGGGATACATTATTTACTATGTGTAAGGTAACAATGCTGGGCACAGTGCATGGTTTCCCAATTATTATTGTACTTAAGAGTTTTGGAGTTTTTTGTTGTTGTTGTTGTTGTTTTGTTTTGTTTTGTTTTTGTTTTAGAGACAAAGTCTCCCTCTGTTGCTCAGGCTGGAGTGTAGTGATGCAACCATAGTTCACCTCAGCCTTGAACTCCTGGGCTCAAGGGATCCTCCTGCCTCAACCTACCCTATAGTTAGGAATACAGGCCTGTGCCACTACACCTAAGTTTTTGTTTTTATTTTTATTTTTTGTAGAGATTGGGGTCTTGCTGTTTTGCTCAGGCTAGTCTTGTGGTCCTGGCCTCAAGTAATCATCCTGCCTTAGTTTCCGTAAGTATTGGGAATACAGGTGTGAGCCACAGTGCCTGGCCTATACAAAGTTTTTATTAGGATTAGTTGCTATATTCTATCAAGTTTTAAAAATGCATTGTTGTAATTTTATAAATTATGTTCTTTTTTCTTTTTGTAATTCATTTTCTTGACAAGTTTGCAAATATTTGCAATTTCCTTATACTTTTCAAGTAAAATCTGTTTGTTCAAAGTGAGTTTTGTTTTCTTTATATTTTTGGGGTTTTTTTTTTTGAGACAGAGTTTCACTCTGTTGCCCAGGCTGGAGTACAGGTGGTGCAGTCTCGGCTTACTGTAACCTCTGCCTCCCAGGTTCAAGCAATTCTCCTCCCTCAGCCTCCTTAGTAGCTGGTATTACAGTGCCCACCACCATACCTGGCTAATTTTTGTATTCTTAGTAGAGACGGGCTTCACCATGTTGGTCAGGCTGGTCTTGAACTGGCCTTGTGATCCACCTGCCTCGGCCTCCCAAAGTGTTGGGATTACAGGCGTGAGCCCCTGTGCCTGGCCTTATAGTGAGTTTTTATTAAGTACAGAAGTAGATTCAATTTGGTAATGCTTTGCTAGCTTTGC